TTGCATCCCAGTCAGGGTTCTGAAAACACCCTGTCCATCATGCAGATTTATGCTTAATACAGATCTTCCATGTGAAAGCTAACAGGCTTCCTGACATGAAACTGGGAGTCTGAAAAATGTGGGAATTCTGGTTCTAACCTAACCTAGCCTCTAACTCAGGCTTGGCTCCCAGATCCACAGGAAGGAACCTGAAAGCCCCAGGAGATTGAGCTTCAGGCTTTTGGCTCCACTGGGGAAAAAAAAACCCTAGAAAACCTGGGAGCTCTCTGGAATTTCAGGTTCCATCTTGCAGTGCCTGGAAATCCTGGGACAGGCTTCCAGGATCCACAGCAGCCCTACTATGCAGACTTCCCTGGGACCCCAAAGCTTCCCGACAAATAAGCCAGCTGGATCCCTGTGTTCCCTGGCTTCTCACTGGACAGTTCTGGGGTCAGTTGGCCCAGGAGTTTGAAAGCTCTGAATTCCCTGCGCTGTTAGTCTGTATTGGGAGTCTGCCTCAGAATTGCAGGGAGTTCAAGCAGCATCTAACTGAAAAGGACATTTTTGACAGTTTCATGGCTGCCATTGGAATAGCAGCTGTGAAACTAACACAAATGTCCATTTCAACTAGCTGCTCCCAAGGAGCAAATTTAATTTCAGAAGTACCATGTAAATTCAATATTAATTTTTTATTATTTTCTGGTTTGGGGGAAGTTTCTGTGTCTAAAAAAAAATAATCAGAATATCAACATATATCATGAGCTAGAAAGTATCAGTGCTGGCTAACTCTATTAACAAGTGGGACACAAACTTTCAGAAATACATAAAAAAGAAATAGAAAAGGCCGACTGTATTTCTGAGTCCAAAAAACTCTCAACATTCTATTTCATAAGAAGAGCTATCAATGCAAAACCATATATCATATTCACTGTATGAATTCTTCAGTGCCTATAAATCTCAAAGCCAGATTCATACTACAAACAACCTCTACTGTTTTATGAAATCACTGCCAGATTCTTTTTTGAACTAACCTTTAGTATATTAGCGGCATCCCGTGAGACTGTGGTACTTTGATCTCCTTCATGGCTGTTTTCTAAACCATAGCATAATCATTTGTAGTCACTTATGTGAATGATAGTCAAGAACTGTGTGGAAAATTCACCATTCATTGAATGTGACCCAGGATTCTTGAGCTCCATGAGTGTGAGGTTATGCATTATCATATCACCAGACAGTTCGCACAACTTATAGACACATACTCAGTGTCTGTTGTTACAGTGAAGTAACAATCTTCTTCTCTTCACTCCATCAGGGGAGGTTTCTAAGGATCAGAGTTTTATAATAACAATACCTAGCTCTTACATGGTGCTTTTCTGCTGTAAAGTTCAAAGTGCTTAAGAAATCAGCACCCATTTTTTAAAGATGGGGAGTTGTGGCTTTGGAAGTTGACGTGAGTTGCTCAAGATAACTCAACAAGCCAGTGGGCAGAGCCAGGTACACAGAGTCCTGGTCTGGTGCTGTAACTAGGAAGTCATAGTCCTCTGTAAATAACCCTCATATATGCAGTCTTTTGCCTGACAATTAACCTAGTCAGTCAGTTCTTAAGGGCATAAGATCACATTCTGATCCAATATTGCTGCAATCAGAAGAAATTACCCTAAAGTTAGAGGAGTTACATTGACATAAATGTGGCATAAATGGGAATTTGGGTCCATTATACCAAAGATAAATTGGAACATCTTACAAACAATGCTACAAAGACCAATAACTACCACACATTATCCAAAGGGGACTCTTCTCCTGGTCCACCTAGTAAAAACTGTACTAAATTTGACTTAGCTCGGGGTTGCTACTTGCATATGCCACCCATGTCTTACAAAAATTGTTCTTTGACATGTCAACACCTTCAAAACCCAAAGGATACTGCAGCACTACTGAAAGCCACAGAATCTTCCTTCACATACTGAAAACATCCTTCCTAGTGCATAGGCATGGAAAGCTTCATCTTTTGTGTGAAAAAATTCTGTCCTTTTTATGCCACAAATAATTTAAAGTAAACCAAAGGGAGTTTTGAAATTGAAATGGGCATTTTGTTAATTTTTCTAAATTCATCTCCTGCTAATGAAATCAGGCATTCCATGAAGAGGTTAATTGTTATGAACCTGTCACATCCTTCCAATTTATTCAAAACTCTAATTACTCACCTGAGTGGGAGACCAGATGAGCCCTAAGTAAACAAAATAAAACACAAAGTTTTAAGCAGCCAAGGATGTGTTTCCTTTTCAGCTACAAAACAAAATACACTTTTCTGAACAGTGAAAGCAAATATTGCTGGGAAAGCCAAGCTTGTCTAACAAATAGCTAAATTTTGCCCACTTCGCAGTACACTTCTGTCTGAGGGAAGACTATGGTCTAAAGGGAATTTATTTTAAAAGTGCAAACATTAATTCAAATTTCTGTTGCGTTCTTAGTCTGTTTTTATGACATTTGTCTCCATCTCTCCCCAAAACAAATCAAAAAGCCCGAAACAAAAAAACCTCAACCCCAGAATCCAACCCTAAAACCAAACACAAAATACAAAACCAAACACATACAACCAAAACACAGCTAACAATGAAAACCCTATAAATCCAATATACAGCCCTTCCCCTTCACCATGCTATCACTACATAAAATAAAAGTCAGCTATATTATTTCATACTGTCCTCCAGTCACAAGGCTTGGTCTCTACATTAGTATTTGTTCCTGGTAACATACAAACAAATACACTTTAATTCTTTTTTGAACTAAGCTTAACATTAATTTGCAACAAAGGAGATTTCGGTTAGATATTAGAGGAAAAAAAACTAAATATAAGGCAAGTTGAGTATTGGAGTACAAGGGGGGAGGGGTGTTGTGGAATCCCCACCATTAGAGGTTTATAAGAATAGATTAGATAGTCATCTATGAAGAATGGGTCAGGTATATTTAAACTTTCCTCAGGACAGGTGGATTGGACTAGATGACTTCCTGAGATCCCTTCCAGCCGTTTCATTTCTATGAATCAGTGCATGACATGGATCATTTCGGAGCTATGAGATCAGTGAACAAGAAGTTACTGCTCAGCTTATTCTTTCTTGTGTCTAGAACTTTAATGTCTCTAGTTCCTGTTTAAAGGAAATGACTTTCTGTGCTGGAGGGGAAACAACATTTTAAAGATGAGAAAACAGATGGAGAACCCAATGAGCAGAAAATATGATGGAATAATGAAGCACTGAGTGAAATCAAGGCAAGATGGGACCTTAATGGATCAACCAGGACAGTTGATACAGAGTCTCTGTCTGGAGATCCAGCTTAACTAGGATGAAATCTTCCCATATAAGTAAATTATTTTAGAGTTTGATGGCTCTTACATAGCTGAGCTCTTATTGCTCACCCAGTCTTACAGCTTCAGTATCCATTACCAACCCTTATTCAACAAATTGTGAAACTGAAGATGAGCATATAATACCAAACCTATCTTCATATTTGCAAACTTCTCTCTTATGACAACCCCGCTTCTCTTCCACAATGTATTGTCTTCTCCCTACCCACTGTTACAAATTCAACTTCCTTTCATATTTCCTGATCTCCAACACTTTTTCCCTAATCCAATCATCTTGAACTCCCCTTCTTTCTACTAGATCTCTCCGTTCTACCCAATGTGCCTGCCTCCTCACTTGCTCCGCATTCTGTTTGCCTACTAGGGCCTTCCCCTACCACCAGCCCTGTTGGATATCTGCTCCCACATGATTTGCCTTTCTGCTGACTTTGGATATTTAACTCTGAATAGATGTACACAAAATTTAGAATTTTCCCTCTTGATAAGGAGTTTACACAACCATTGTCATTCATGTCTATCTCATAATAATGGTAATAGGTGGCACAGATATTTATAGAAGACCAATAGCATTAATCTTTTGCATCCCCATTTTGTAATGCAATTGAATTGCATGGGAATATGTTCAGAATTGCAGAATAAAGGTGCTGAAACCTTTTCCAACTTGCCCTACAAATAAATTCCATACCATGTATAAAGTTCAAAGTGGCTTCCTAGGGAAGAAGGCATCAAAGTCAGCTCAGATCTATTCCCTAGGCCACACTCTAGATCCTCACCAACATAAGAGTCACTCTCAGCTCCTGTATATAAATGTAGGTTAACAAGTTACCTTCCCCAGTGAGTAAGCAGAATCCACTCAGTCTATTCTCATTATCATCAACAGGTGCTAGAAGCGAGGCTGTGAGGTGTTTTAGAGAAAAAACACCTCACCCATTGCAAGAATACTTTGAGTCTTCCATTTCTTCATTATTTCCCTTCATGTTTTTCTCCACAAACTTACCCCACACCACTACCCATAAAGAAGCAGATACTGAATAGCTCATCTATATTTGCTTAATGTATGTACACATCATCTTACCCTGTAATTTCATTTTGGCACTCTGCAACCCACTATGCTCTGCAGACAGCTCCTTACACAAGACTATAAACTGAAGGCGACTGCTGCCTTACACACCTGTGTCTAGAAAAAGCATACCCCTTTCAGGAGCAGACAAGTACCCCATTCTGCTTTGCAGTTTGGGGAGGAAGATCCTCTTGCTCACAAGGATGTAGATTGACTCATCATGCTTATTGGTTAGGCTGAGTTCCCAGCACCAGAAGGTCACCAACAAACCTGATTCTCCACACCCTTGAACCTTATAAAACCATTTATACTTACGCAGAGTGGGGGTGAAATATACCATTCTGAATTGATGGCAGTTTCCTATCACATTGCACATGAATCCATTGAATGCAAGCTGCTTGAGGATCAGACCCTGTAGGCTTAATAAATATTTGTCTTAAGTACAGCACCCCATAATCACTGCCTTCAATTTTGGTAGACAAAAACAAACAAAACCCCTAAAGAAAATATGCTGTTCCCATTACGAGGCTTTGCAATGTCACACTGCAGTTGCTAAAGAGAAGACAGCATTTCATGTAGTGTCTGTTTTGTATCTTTCAGATTAACAGAGCAAAACTTCCTTACTGGAAGATGACCCTGCTAAATGTGTGCAGTCTTATAAACAACATAAACAATCAAGCAGAGGAACCAGTGGAGTCTGAGGAAGATGATGTCCTTCAAAGAGGACAGTTTCCTGCTGCTTTGGATGGCTCCAACTTGGAAGCGATGCTGGCAATATACCAACTCCAAAAAGTTTGCTACAGCAGAGCCTTTCAGCAATGGGAGGTAAAGCAACATGTCACTACTGCATTCACTTGAAGGACTCTGCTTTTATATTGTATTCATATTTTGAGAGAGACTTAAAAACCTAGATCCTGTCTGCTACTTATGGCCTCTTCAGAGCCTTAGTATCTTTGGCCAAAGCGTCCCCCTTCTACATTCTTGGGCACTTCCTCCATTGTTGGTTATCCATCTTGTTGCTGCTCTCCATTGTTGGTGGTTTTATTTAAACTGTCTTGTAGATGTATTATTTGTGAAGCGCTGCAGGTTGCTTTGGACTAGATCAATGAAAAATACTAGCTCTTAGTCATTTCTCCACACTTTGTAGCTATTCCTCCAAAAACTAAGCAGGATCATGACAGAACAGAACATTAAACTCTGTTATACTGGAGTAGAGGTCACCTGGGTTTACACAGGTGTGACTAAAAGCAGAGTCATAGATGGCCTTCTGTACGTGCATAGAATCATTGGGCTCAAGTCATAGTTGCCTATTTGCACTATGTGAGTATAGCATGTATACAAAGCCACCACAGTTGCCCTGGGGAATACCAAAAAGCAGGGGGTTTCCACCTTACCAGAATTGCTTTATGCAAACTTAGGGGACCTTCTAGTGCCCTGAGGCCCAGAACGGAGAGTGCAAAAAAAAAAAAAGTGGTGGTTCGTTCTCTCGTTCTCTCTCTCCTCCTCCCCTCATCACAGCTGAGGAGTCAATCCATTGGCTCTGCTGGACCACAGCAGTGTGCTGCCTGTGCATCACATTCCTTTGAATCAGCTGCAGTTGTGTTTACACAGAATGGCAGCAACAAGTCTCAGAGTCCTTTTCATCACTACATTTTACACTGCAGCATACTACCATTACCATGATACTGAGGTGTTTCTTACCCTGGAGAGGCGAAACGGAGGGTCGACAGGTTCATATAAGTCATAGAAAAATTCTGGTCCTGGTGCAGCTTAGATGTAAGGTAAAGGAGTGCAAAGTAATATTAATTGAGTTTAATAGAGAAGGGGAGGAGACTGAGGGAAGGCAGTGTTAAGAAAAGGGCTCCACTGCCAGCAATGAACAGTACAGTACCCACCGTCCTCTGATCCTATTAATTCAACCTCTGTTCCAAAGCCCACAAAACTCACTTAGAATCTTCCTATTGATTCCAACAGATTTTAAATTAGGTCCCATTTACATAGTGATAATAGATGCTGGTGCCCCAAACCAGGGTTTAAGTGAAACCAGAGCCACCCAGAACAGAATTCCAATAAACATGTTCAAACCTGTAGGAACCCTGGGTGCACCCCATTGGGCTGAAGACCCAATCCTCAGCCTCTCCCACAGGTCTGAAGCCCCAAGCTCCGAGATTCCAGAAAACACTCAGAGAAAATTTAAGCATTACCCCCAAACAATTAAGTTATGAATGCTACGAAAATTTAGTTTATTGACCCTTTGTCAGACAGTTGGATTGAGTTTGATCATTAAAAGGTTTAGTAATAAGAATGGATTGAATCAGCTCAGATAAACTAAGAACCAACCTGGCCCTTCATCCATAACTGAAAGCACAATTGTTTTTGAACCATCTGATATTAACCTTTCTGTTTATATTTGCACATTTGTGGTTTGAAATTTTTTATATATTTCTCAGTTTGCCTAATCATGAAAGTAAAGACCCAGTAATATTGTGAGGAAAGCTGAAATAAGCAAGAAGTAGAAATCCATAAGAATTCCAGCCTACATTTTAAACTAAAGATGTTTAAGAACTTTAACTTCTGAAAGCTAAGCCCAGATTAAATAAAAGTTCCCAGGGTAAAATCCTGGTGCCAAGTTAATGTCAGTCCCATTTACATCAATGAGATCTATTTCACCCCTTCCCCACAAATTTGAGATTCTCATCAACAATGTGATTATTGATTAGGCAGATATTGTTTTATAATTAATTCCTTGACATAAGTAGTCTAAAGTCCATTGTATTTGTTTCTAATGGATACATAGAGGGTGTGTCTACACAACATCCTTAACTTGAAATAAGCTATGCAATTTGCACTATGAAAAGTGAGTAGTTTATTTGGAGGTTATTTCGAAATAAAGTGCTATTTCGACAAATCCCTTAACCCATGTGGAACGAGGATTACAAGAATACTGGAATAGCATGCTCCTTATTTTGAAATATATTTCAAAATAATGAGCGTGTTTAAAGATGCTGTATAGATGTAGCCTAAGGGTGCATCTACACAGCAGGGCTTAACTTGAAATAAGCTACACAAATTGAGCTACATCAATTGCATAACTTATTTCGAAATAGCTTATATCGAGTTTTGGTTTTGTCTACACAGAACTTATGTTGAAACAGAGCACTCTTCCTCCGACTTCTTTTACTCCTCATGAGGGTTACAGGAATCTGAGTAAGAAGTCCTCCAGTTTGACAGTATTTTGACATGTCAAAATAACTGCTGGCTGTGTAAACATGGACAATGTTATTAAGAAATAACACTAGTTATTTTGAAATAATGTTGCTGTTTAGACATAGCCTTAGAGATCTGTAGATTTACAAAAATAAGAAAGAGATAAATATTTTTCTTTACCTTTAATCCAAAGAAATCAAGAGATACCACAGTGTCTTTTTTCACATTTTACAGTTACTTCAGCAAGATGGTTTCAATCAAGAGGAATCAAACCAAGATATAATGAAGAGAAAAACTCCTTATATCCTGAAACGGCAACTACATGTTAACAAAGCCAGAAGACCGTACATACTCAAGAGAAGTTCATACTACTGATGCAGCAAAGACAGCAATGTATATTTAGTTTGAGCAACTGTGCTTTATGGTTATCTGATTTAAATCTAAAATCATATTTGTGTGAAAATATACTGTGAAAAATCATCAAGATTATAACATAACTGTGTCTTTTTTGCATTGTTGTTTCTTGAATGTGATTTTTCCTACTTGAGATTAATTGGACCAATACATTTACAAATAAATCTAGTTTCTAAGCATGATGTATTGTACACAACTGAGATTTCAACATATTTGCTACAATATAAGGGCCTTTTTCTGTGTTATAAAACACATTTTCTATGCCAAAAAGTAAATCAATAGTCCATCAAGCCCAGTAAGTATAATAAAATGTCCAACATCTCAGAAACAATCCAGACTGGCAAATGTTATGTAATATGGTAATCACAACTGGCCCAGTGTTTTCTAAGTTGACCAGTGGCAATAATCAGGGTTTAAGTCTAAGGGGAAAAGGAAATGTTGTGCACTGGCTATTAAGTTGCAATTTCGCAATAATCAGGGTTTAAGTCTAAGGGGGAAAGGAAATGTTGTGCACTGGCTAAGAAGTTGCAATTTCAAATCTCATCTTTTAAGTAGATTCCTTATTTTGATGACTGACTAGTGAATTCTCCATGGACCAATGAAGGGTCATTATTTAATACATTAATTAAATTAAAAATGATTATGACAGACAAAATGTTTTCATAAATGTCTGCTAATTGAACAAAGCCAGGAGGTAATATCTACTTCACAGAAATTTATATTTCTGCCTGAGGCAAGGAAACACTATATATTTTAGTTTGTTCAATCAGTTAAAACAACATGTTCTCTGTATACTTTATGCATGCTCAACAGAAGGACTTAAAGAGTAAAGCTAAGAACTGGTCTCAGTCCAATGAAGTCAATGAAAATGTCCTAAATCAAAGTCATGATTCTGACTGCAGGTGAACCATGACTCAACATATCCATCAGAGCTGTGGATTATGCAGGATTATTTCTGGTATTTAAAAGTTCCAGGACAGCGAATCATCACTAAGGTTAAGATTTTATCACACGTATTTTTAGTAAAAGTCACAGATGGGTTGCGGGTAATAAACAAAAATTGAGAGAAGCCTGTGACCTGTCTGTGAGTATTACTAAAAATATATGGGGGTGAAAAGATGGGCCTAACAGTGGGAGCTGCACTGGGAGCTGACTTCCAGCCACTGCTCTTGCCCTAACACTGCTCTGGCCCCAGGGGCTGCTCCTATGGTGGGGTGGGAGGAGGTTGGGTGGCGTGTGGATATGATCCAGCCCCAGTCATTGCTATGGCCTACACAACTGCTCCAGCCCTACAGGCTAATCGCTGGCTGCTATTCCAGTCCTGTTGCTGCTCCTGGCCAGGGGCTAACAGCTTTTCCAGTTCTTCCACTACAGTTGGCTGAAGCTGCAGAAGTTATGGAGGTCTGTTAAAATGATGGCATCTGTGACTTCCTTAGTAGAAATATATTCTTAACAATGACCAAAATCACAGTAATCTGGGCTGCTATCCTTATCCTGAAGCTCCATGGCCCACAGCCCACCCCCATCCTTACATCCCTACCCCCCCTCCATCCTCCATTCCTACGCCTAATCTCCCTGCCTCTATTCTTACACCCATCATCCTTCCTAGCCCCTTCCCTCCCACACTCCACACTGCCTATCCCTATCCCCATCTCCTCCCTCCATTCCTATACCCTCAACCTTTCCTAACCCCTCTACCTCCCCCCTGCACCCCCACACTGCCCATTCTCCTGCCTTCATTGCTATATTGCCCTCACGCCCACTATCCCCCCTTACCACACTGCCCATCCCCACGAACACCCTATTCCCCTCCCTCCTTCCCTCCCCACACACACACCCTGCCCCATCCCACAAATCCATCGAGCTGCATGCTTGGGATCAGCCCAGTCTTTTTGAATGGGCCTGTTGGGGTATGTGTAACGTCATGTGAATGGTCTTTGGGGCATCTTTGCTCCATGGTGAGCCTAGGGAGCCCAGAGCAGAGCCAGGAAAGCAGCTGCAGATGGGATGGTTACACTGCACCCCAACGGGCCAGGGGTACAGTATGGCTAAGAACTGCCTCGCTAGCTAGTAGTGGGCTTGGGAGAGCCCACTTGAGCCAGGGGCCTGGCCCCAATGCTCCAGTGGATGCACACCTTCCTGTAAGGCTGAGGTGCAGTGCTGCAAGCCGGGCCCTGACAGGAGCCTGAGGGGGAAAGCAGGGAGCCAGGGTCCTAGCATGAAGGGGGCAGTGCTTTGTGGACAGAGGGGAGGATAAGGTGCTTCCGGAGAGTGAGGCCTTCCCCAAGGAGTTCAACGGGCCCTGAGGCTCAGCAGGGATGCGCCTCCATAACTGTCACCAGATCCTGGGTATCTCGGTCGGTGTGTGTGTGTGTGTGTGTGTGTGTGAAAACTTTCAGTAGAGGAGCCCTGCCCAGCCCCTGGGTGTCACTGGACAGGAGGCCCCTTGCCATCTGCAGACTCCCAGCCCCAGCCCCTCACTGCAGGCTGGGCCCCACACAGGCCTTGTCCATGCTCTTGATATCCTGCACGATCTGCTCACTTGGGAAGGCTCTCTGCTATCTTGGGTGGGAGGGAACCAGTCAACAGCGCTGCCATCGGATGCACTGGAGAGGTGGTGCTGCAGCTGCTGCCAGCATCTGGGCTGAGTAGCTGAGGGCAGAGGGAGGGACAATAGGATGCAGAATGACATATGATGTCACTCTGTTGTCCCACAGGAAAAACATTTTTATATATATGAGAGACAAGTAATGAGACATGAAGTCAGGTTTGGCTACAAAAGAAACAAAAGATAAAACAAAGTAATGGCTACTTACTAAACTATTAGAATCCAGGCAAAGGCATTCCTCTTATCACACACCAGAGTAAATTTCACAGGCTATGTCTTTTTCCAGCCTGGGACTCCTCCCACTGAGTTCAGTATCCTTCAGGTATTCAGTGACATCATGAGCAGAGAGATAGGAGAAAGAGGAGTACAGTCAAATATTTTCCACCTCTCGTTATAATTGTATAATTTTGTGCCAGAAAAATCATTCCTGCATCATGGTAATAAAGCCAGTCTCTTGTGGACATGAGGTTGGAATTCATTCTGTGATGAAGTGTATTTTTTTTTTTTTTTGGTTATCCCTTCCTTCTTGCTTAGAGAATGGTTCTTAAACAGGAAATAGCCCTTTAGCACCTCTCTGAGATGCCAGTGTGTCTTTGCCTCTGGAAAACTGTTTGGATCTGCTTTTCTTAACCTTGGAGCATGTTAAAATATCATCATACAGTAGAGTCTTGCAACATGTCAAACAATATTGCCACACATTTTACCAGGGCGATGATGTTAAGCAAATTACGACATTTCAAATGTCACCTCACAAGTCTTACTGTGTACAAAATATGTCACAACTTTATAAAAATGTGAACAAGGGGTACAGGTTGTCACAACCAGTTCATACACATTTCTTCCCCAATCCCAAGATGATTTGTCTGCCTTCTCTCCTAACACCACCCAGGACTTCTTGCCTAGAGTCTTCCACAGATTCACTCTCCCAATGACTCCACATACAAACATTTCAATAATATACTCACTGCATTCCTCTTAATCAAATAAGAAAATGATTTTCTTACCTGGGAAGATGACCTGATCATGTCACCAGTGGGATTGGTTCTTAAAAAGCTGGCATCTTTGTGACAGTGGCTAATAATAAAACATAGAACATTAATTCATAATTTGAAACTTCTTTTTCCCCCCAGCCATTGCTGATAAATACTTACAGCAAAATTTACCTGTTTTTATTATTTTTTATTTGTATTGTAATTTTGGGATTATGAATGAAAGGAAAGTCAGAATGCTCCCTTTTTTTAAGATATGGAAACAGGTGGAAGGAAACACTCTTTGCTCCAAATATACAAGTTCTATAGCTCTAATATATAGCATTAGGAATTACAAATGGTTTCCCTGTTGACCTGACACAACAAAGCAGGCTAGATTCTCTCAAGACTTCACTACAGTTAACACAGGAAAGAAACAGAGACATCTGATCTCTTAATCAATAGAGAACAAGGGGAGACAGGTCAACTGAGACAAAGACAGCTGTTTTCCTCAAATATCTTCAATTAAAGAGACGAAATTATGGCAATTGTCACAGGTCTGGAGAGCAGAGTGGGAAAAATCCTGTCCTATCCACTGAAACAATATCCATAATTTTGGAAAACTACAGATATTTTCTTGGTCTCAGTAAAGATATATAGGCAAATACTGTTGGCATTTTAAAACTCAATTCAAAGCATCAGTGGAAAAGGTACTGTTACACGCCAAGCTTTCTAGATATAAGAAATTCAGCATGAAAATTCAACCTTGAATGAAAATAGGTTTGAAAAACCCCAAACCTGTTTTCAGTAAACATGATTTAAGTCAAGTGAGATATTTGTAAATTGTAAGACTAATAATCAAGACATTAGAAAATTTTGTTAATTCAGACAATTTTTTTCTCTGTCATGATCACAAATAGGCTTACATCTTAAGTATTTTGAAGATGATTAGGCAAGATTATTGATTTGGTCCTTTAGAAATGTTGCTTGTTAATTGATGAGTAATTTTGTGTTTAATAAAGCAAATACTGAGGGATTTGGCTGCCTGACACTGTAAACATACAGCTATACACATAACACATTTTTCAGTTTGCTGGTTATTTTTAAAAAGTTGAGCTGAAAATTAAATTCTTTAAATTGTTTTGGCCACTCAAAAATATTTTTTTAAGTTATTACAGGTAGTATGCTCATTTTGACTTTGAACACTTATTTTTAAAAAAAGTTTTAAAAATAAAATTAAAGGAATTTTCAAAAGAAAGTTTTGAAATGAAAAATCAAAATGTTTCATTTCAAAATGAAAGATGTTCTGTAATGATGTGGTAGCCACGGTGGTCCCCGACTAGGAAAAAGACAAAAACGGATGAAGTAATATTTTTAAGTGGACCAATTTCTGGCAGTGAAAGAGAAAAGATTCACCAAACTTTGATTTTTCTGGTCCTGAAGAACAGCTCCATGAAGCTTCATAGAAGCTGGTCCACTAACACTATTACCTCATTTACCTCGACTGTCTCAAACAGAAACTGGTTTTTAGGTTTATCAGATGATTTTTACTCATCAATTATTTATATATTTTACACATACTTTCTCCTTACACTTTTGAGAAGGC